ACGTCCTAACACCTCCCATTTGTTGACCGCCTGCTGTCTGGCAGATGTCTCCCTAACCTCTTAAAAACATTATTCCACTTAATAAGTGTTGTCTCTGTTTTATAAAGGAGAAAGCTGCAAGTCAGAGCAGTTCAGAAACTTGACCCGGGTGACTGCTCAGTAAGTAACATGAGTGTCTGAGGCCCAGTCTAATTCTACCTCTGTCCCCAGTCTCTTCACTGAGGCCGTGGCTCAGACGCCGCCGCAGGAGCCAAGTCTTCCCCAGCCATCGCTGGTGTTTGACATTCAGCCCTACTCAATACCAGTACAAAGTATGACAAAAGAGTTGAATTAAAATTCTAACTTCCCAGGACTTTGTCTGAAATCAGCAAAATGAGAGTACTGTCAAGGACAAATGTTTTCAGTTCCAGCAGATCACAGCCATATTTCATGTGGTTTTTTTTGCCGTTGTTGTGTTCCTATATGCAGACTTAACTATTATGCCATTCCTTGTAACCACTCAAAGGAATTAACGTACAACTAGGATTTACAGCAGCTAAATGACAGTCATGACAGGACCATTGTCCAAACTTAAATACCAGTGTTTCAGAAAGAGAAATTAGCATGCTTTTCCTAGTCATTATGCCTTTTAGTCAACTGTTATGTCTTTAACTTTAAAATAACACCTGAAATATGCGTACTGCTTTAGAATTGACAAGATGCTCCTCCCCACTAAAATGTAAGCTCTCTTAGTGTGGGGGTCCTGTCTGTTTTGCTCACTTTCTTACATCACCACCTGGTGGTACCCAGCACATGATAGATACACAGCACGTGTTGAAAGAATGAGGGAATTGCACACACGTGACATTTTCATAACAGCTTTGTTAGCAAAACGGATCTCATGATCTGTTCGCAGAGTAAGCAGTTGTCTGAAAGGTAAGCTGAGTTGCAGAAGGTCCCACGATTGGCATATAGATTACCCAGAAAATTCCATCTGAAGTGTTCCTTCTGTCATATCAATACACTTAAAAGGAATGATCAACTATTAACGTTAATGACAGTGAAATGAGAATAAAATTCAGTGGGAAGAGAACATACACCACCAAAATGAATTGCAGTGTGGTCCCTCTGTCACCATCACAGGCCTTGTGAAAAAAGTTCTGTCACCAAAACTCAGATTCTGCGCCTGCCCCAGGAGCCAGAATGGAGGTCCTTTAAAACTCATCCCACGCCCACACATTGTTCTACCACCACTGTGAGGCTTCAGCTGCTTCCATAGATGCACGCACAGCCCCTCTCTGAACAGCCTCTGCCTTACCTTCACCATCCAACCTCCCATTGAAAGAAGAGACTGCGAGGCCATGGCCGCTGCCTGCTCTGGGTCTCCTCTCAGTGTTGGATGGCCATGCCTTTGCCTTGGCTACCATCACCTCCCTCTTCCCAGTCAGGAAAGCACATGGCTATTGTTTGCTAGTGGTGTTGGCCGTCAGAGCCGCATGGAACCAGCAAGCCAGGCCACCCCGGCGCCTGTCCCAACCCTGGCTTCTTTGGGCACAGGTGTTTGAAAGAGCTGACATCCTCCCACAGACAGATTTTGGATAACATTTCAAAACAGATAACAAGCAATTGGAAGTGAGCACTTTATGGGAGTAAAAGTCTTGCTTGGACCCAAGAGGCCTTGGGACAGGCTGGGGAGAAAGGCAAGAGTGTGGTGTGCTGCTCGACTGGTCTCCCTAGGCTGATAACCCAACTGTGGCCAGACTGAAGAGAGAAAGGAAGTGAAATTCTGAATGGAGAAGACCACAGAGATGTTACTGGCTTCCCAGACACGGACACTGTCTAGCATCTGCAGCAGGCCCTTTGCCCTTTCTCCGTTCCTATCCAGACACTATCCTTTAACTTATTTAAGGACTTCACAAAATAAATATAGCAACCAAACATTTAATAAATTGTTTTAAATTGGAGTACATTTTTTTTTGGCTTCTGTGGGTTCATAGTAGGTGTATACACTTACTTGATATAGACTTGCAAGTGCATAATAATCACATCAGGAGTAAATGGGGCAAAGATTTTTTTACATTGTAAAATTCTTTCATGTGACCATCCTGCATATATTGGCAGGTCACACTTGTAATAACTAAGCACTTTGGGGTCTTACACATATTGAAGGCTTATACCTGTTCTACTTGGAGCACCGTGTGCCTGAGCACCTCTGCCCTGTGCCGAGTGGCATCCTCCATGTAGTAGGATCTCAATAAATTTGTGTTAATTGAATGAATGAGAACTTTTAGCCATTGCCTTAGAATTAACAATTTCAGCCCAATAGGTAATTTAAAAAAAAAAAAAAAGTACTTGCTCCTGTATTTAACTCATTGATTAGCTTTTTGGAGAGAGACTATCAATGATTTATATTAAAGTTTTTGTTGCCAAAAATTGTAATACCAGCACAGACACTGCATTGGGAAGTTATGATAGCAGCTCACTGAGCCCCACCTCACGCCCGCCCTTTCTGATGTGTCCAGTTGCATACGTCTCTTTGAACCTCACTGGCCTGTCGTGTGGTTTGACTAGCAGCACCATTTCCTATCCATCCCAGGACCACACATTTTTCCCTTCTGTTTCCAGCATTACCAGTTATTTGTATGAAGCAGTTATTTTTTTGTGAGGGGAAGGAAGGCAATTATTTCCATTTTTCCAATCAAAAAGATATCTCCAAAAAATACAAAAGCTCTTTCTTGTCCAAGGTTAAGTCTGTGAGCTCTTTATTATCCATATGAAACCTGTGGTCAACCCAAAATAGGAAGCTTGCTTTTTTTTTTTTTTCTCCCCAAATTTTCTATTCACAAAAATATGGTTCTTTTGGTTCAAAGTGCCCTGTGGCTTTATTCTTCCCATTCATAGCTTTGTCTTCAGAATTGCATTGAGTAATTTACACTTATCCCTTTTACGGGCTTACTAGTAATGCTTAGGCTGGTGGGTTCTTGCCAGGAAGTGTTTATGCTGTCGGGGTCGGAGTGGGAGTTGAGTTTACAGCAGGGTGTCACTGAGCATCTGACACTGCCTTACTTTGCTCTAAGTGTAATTTTCTGCTTTTTAGTCAGGACTCTGGCCCCACTCTTCTCTTGTACATTGAGGAATTTCAAAAGTTAAAAACTGCCCTCGCATTTCCAGTCATCCTTGCGCTGTAGCACATTGTGAGGGCCCCAGATCCTGACACTTGTTCTTGCAGGAGTGTTGACAGGACCCTGGTTCTCACTAACGGCACAGGCTGTGAGTTTTTTATTCTGTTCCTTAGAGGATCAAAAATAGAAGCCTACTGTGCTTTGATTTTCACTAAGTATGTATATTACCTGTGTGTCTATATGAGCTGGTCCTCCATGGCATGCGACTTAGAGACTCTAGACCTGAGCGTGTTGATCACACATCCCTGCACCCTGCGCTGACACCGGGCAAGACTGCCCAGAGGGTATGAGCAGAGCAGGCCAGGCCCCACTGCCCTGTCAGCAGCGGGAGCAGTCTGGGGGACGCCTGAAGGTATGGCTTTGCTCCTGCAGGAAGAATGTTTTTCTGGTCTCCAGCACAAATTAGTTTATTTCACTTTCACTTAAAACAGGCTTTTTCTGTTCTTCTCTCCCACCTCCCAGATAGGACTTCTTACCTTGCAATTATCCTTTTTCTCAGGAAGAATCCATTAATTTCTGGACTGTACTGCATTACTCTTCACTCAGCTATCTCAACAAAATAGACTTAATAACACCTGAACCTTCATATGTCCTATTTATGCATATGAAATGAATGTCTTCTCAAAAGAAAAAGAGCATGCTTATTTGTATACCATAGTATGTGTCAGAATCAAAAACTAGTTTTATATTTAGAATATGCAGATGCCCGTTCAGAAGGTCGATTATAGTTCTTGATGTCTGTCTCAACTTTAACAACTAACCAGTAGCGTGGATGAGATTCTGGGAGAAGTTTTTCCTTAACATTGTTACTATGAACATCCATGCCTTTACAGCACAGAATTTTCCTTGTTCTGTAGAGAAGATATTCTTATGTGTGCAGTTCTAGAAGGCATTCTGGAATCTCTCACTCCAAGTGAAAAGAATTGCTTTGGAAGCGGAGTACCACAGTATTTTGTTTTTATGGTTTTTTTCCTGCAAAATGATGATAATGAAAGCTCTTAGTGAACCCTGCGAATGCCAGGACCTATGGCTGCATTATCCCCTTGAGTCCTCACTGCAGCCCCCCAAGGGTGGGACAATTATTATTCTCAAGTGATAATTGAGCAAACTGAGGCTCACAGCCTTCTTGCCAAAACTCACAGCTAGTAGGTGTCGAAACTGGGGTTTCGTCCCCAGTAGTCTCACCTCAGACCCCCGCATTCTTAAGTCCTGTGCATGCCTGCTTTTGAGCAAAGTGAGGTTCAGTCAACCTGTACCTAAAATCTGATACTTTATTTTGTCCAGCCTTTAACTTGCTTTACAGAATCAAATTCAGTGTGGTTTTATAAGAATTTTCTCCTAAAAGTGGTTCCTTAAGATGAAAATGGTCATTCTGCGCAATAACTTGATTTTTCCTTTGGCAGTAAGATACTGTAATTGATACCTAATGTGCATTTTATAAGTGTTGTTAAACACCCTCTGTATTTTGTCTGTTATTATACAGTGTGTGTGTGTTTTACAGTATATATTATATATGTTTTATAGTGTGTGTATGTTAAGAAATTGAAGGACATTTTAAAATTTTCATTTTGAAGCCGACTGAACACCAGTTATAGAGAGCATAAACAGTGACAGAAATGAAAAACAATAAAAGAAAACTTCTAACTAATTTCTTCTTTTTTTCTTTTTGACTTGTATGGAAATACTCCTTTCACCATTTGGTTCTCAAAGGAAATAGTGGTAGTGTTACTTTCTGTTTCTCCTTAGAAAACTCTAAGGCATGGGGTACAGCCTGCCAGCAGGGGAAGGGATCTTGTGTTATTGTTAATGCCTTTCTTCTCTCCTTCATCTTGATTTCAGGTGTCAGAAACTATTTAAAAGAAGCACTGGTGAATATAATTGCTGTGCACGCAGAGGTAAGCTATCATTAGATGTTCCTAAGAGATACAGATAACCGGAAAAAAAAAAAAAAAGATGCCAGTTTGATTATTTTTATGGTGGTCTTTTTTTCCCTCAGCATGTATCTTGGATATAAATAAGATTCAGCTCAGCTCTTGCTGTCTCTCCCTCTCTCTCTCTCTCTCTCTCTCTCTCTCCCCCCCCTCTCTGTGTGTCTTTTTCTGAAAGTGTATGTTTTATTTGATAATTAAAGCTAAACTCATTAATATTTGAAAGGTGAAAAGAAGACAGATTGCAAGGATGTTTATCCTTTAAAGAACAGTAAATCCCTTATCTTGGAAAATGCATTAACCTCTTTTTAGCCAGTATACAAATAAGCACTGGTATGTGATTCTTGTAGAGGGAGTGGGATTCCAGAAAGGTAGACACTGCTTAGAAAGAGACTCGGGGAAGGCCGTCGCTGGAACAGATGCGTGGTTTCCTGTCCGTGGTTGACTTAGGGTTGTGCAGACAATATTGCTGCTTCTGGTCCATGTGAAAATTTGTACTCACTTGACATGCTTTCATCTTAAGCTTCGTGTTAACATCCTCAGTGAATATCCTGGTTAGGAGGACTCTTGTGAGGAACATTGAAAGAAGAGAACAGAGTTACTGCCATGATCTATGACTACCTGTTTTCATTCAGTAATTTCAGGATTCGTTACTCACTGCTTTGCCAACACTTTTGGGGTGGCTGCAGCCCACAGACCGATCAGGGGTCAGATAAAGTGGGGCAGAGCAAAGAGGCCACCGTTTGATCATTTCCACGGTTGCCTGGGTGCCCCTTAGGCGGCAAGCATCCAAGAAGGGCGTTTTTAGGTTTGTGCCGCCTGCTGCGTCTAAAAGTATCTGAGGCCATCAAGGTAAACTGAAAAAACATGATTAATTAAGACCGAAACCAAAATATGACCAGAGAAAACAAAGATAACACTACCTGGTTCCTAAATTTGGCCAGACGCTTGAAGCACCGAGAACAGAAAGAAGACTATAGTACATTACAGTTTTCAGTTCTTAGTGAAAGAGAAACATATAAACTCATCTATAACAATAGAGTTTTTATATGATTTAACTCAGGCAGGAATTTACCACATAGATCTTTTTTATAATAAGCAATATTTTTAAAGTATATTCTTATCAAAATATAAAAGTTCTATTTTTGTTATGTTACCCTCCTATAGAATTTGAGCCCAAAGTGCAAATTTAGGTACAAGCATTTCTGTGGTAGGCAGGCAGAACTCTGAGATTTGTGGAAATTGTTGTGATGATGTTGATTCATAGTGAGGCAGTTTTTTTATGTCCATTATCAATTGCCATGGGATTATAATGACTGAAAGTAGCATTTCATTCATAATATTTACTATTTGCTAAATAATTTTAAATTGCCAAAAATTTTCTTGGACACTCGAGTTATGTTTGGGTTAATCCAAATGTTTAATGCCAATGACTCTATCTGGGAAAAGGAAAAGCTTGAAAAGAAAATATGACTTTTATAAAATCGTATTTTATTTATAAATCAGGAGGGTCAAATGTTTCACTAAATCTCCAAAGACAGTAACTTTCAGTTTGAAAGTATCAAACTTTAAGGTTTGAAAATAATGTAAGTCAAATAAACATATTTAGTATACTATTTGTAAAATGGGGGGGCTTGTTGTCCAATACAGAATGGGGTACCTCGTATGAAATGGTGTTTGTCAGGGTTTAAGGATAGTCTGACACTGTATTTTTTTAAATTGTGGTAAAATATTGACCCAGTATGTTTTTATTTTTCTGATTTCTTCTTTAGAGATGTTTCTTTTTGGGTAAGGGGCAAGAGGAAAAAGAAGTGTTCAAAACAGTTTTTATTTTGTCAACATCAGTAATGCCTTTCAAAATTATATCTGCCAATACTGTATTTTTAAGAGTTATTTTTTGTTAGTCAATAGAATTTAAATATAAGTCCGTATATTCCTTTCATTTATAATTTTGGTCTTTTAAAAATTACTTAGAAGTCCTGTGAATTTTGTTTTGTTTTGTTTTTGTTTTTAATGTTACTTTGTTTTTAACAAATTCAACTCAAGCCCCACAAGGCAGTATTTTTTCCTATTTCAAACCAGGTGTTCACTATTTCCAAAGAACTGGTCCCTCGGGTACTATCCAAGGTGATAGAAGCAGTTTCTGAAGAGCTCAGTCGACTGATGCAGTGTGTTTCATCCTTCAGCAAAAATGGAGCTTTGCAGGTAACAAAGTCATTCAATTCCATAGTGAACTTCTATTGTTATTTAAAGCATATGCAATGTTTTTAGTCATCAATCCTGTAAGACAGGCTTCTTTTAATACATCTACTGATTGGAGAACCTCGTATTCTTTCTTAAATAAGCCATATCCATGAAGCATTGTCTACAAGTTTCAGAGTTTATGTTTCTTTTCTTTTTTTCTTTCTTTTTTTGAGATGGAGTCTTGCTCTGTTGCCAGCCTGGGGTGCAGTGGTGCAATCTTGGCTCACTACAACCTCTACCTCCTGGGTTCAAGTAATTCCCCTTCCTCAGCCTCCTGAGTAACTGGGACTATAAGCGCACGCCACCATGCCTGGCTAGTTTTTTGTATTTTAGCAGAGACAGGGTTTCACCATCTTGGCCAGGATGGTCTCGATCTCCTGATGTCGTGATCCACCCACCTCAGCCCCCCAAAGTGTTGGGATTACAGGCGTTAGCCACCACGCCCGACAAAGTTTCTGTTTCTTTATGGTAGAGCAAGACCTTAAAGACTTCTGCCAAATTATCTGAATGCAGAGTCTTTCAAAAGTTTTGTGATTTTAATTTTTGTTTTACAACTATCTTCATGACATTCAATTCTGCAGGAAATTTTTAGCAACTTGCTTTTAATAAATCTTTCGAAAGCATTCAGTGCAATTTGCATAGAAACATCAAATAGCTGTCACTTTTGTTTAAATTACATAATTACAGTATAACTGCCATAAGCACCAGTTGACTTTGGCATGCACATAACCAGCTGGTAGGGGCTGAGGCGTGCATGCATGCAGATGGCAGAGTGCACTCCTACCTGGTAGCTCCCCATGTGCTGGCTAGCAGCATGGTAGTGAGTTTCAAAAAGTGCTGTTCTTCTTCTAGTCATGGCTGAGGAAGCGCCTAGAGGGCCAGCCTCCACAGATAACAACTGTAAACTTGAATATCAAAAAATATTTTTTTATTAAAAAAAAATCCCTGAAGATGCCAGAGAGTGACCATTGGTGGTCAGATTCTGGAGGAAACGGCACTTGGGTGAATTATTTTTTATGGATTTTAACTGAAGGCAGGTCCAGGACTACCTAAAACTCCAATACAAAACCTGTGTCTTCCTGGCTTGAAAAACAGGCTTTGGAGCAGCCACACCTACAGGTAGGTGAGAGAGGTATCCCAGAGAGGAGAGAGATTTAGGCAGTGTATACAAATTCTGTGGAATACATACCACTCCAACCAGCCCAGCTAAGGCTAGAAGAACTGAAGTAAGAATTGGACTGCTGCCCAAGAGCCAAGAGTTATTAGTTTGAGTCCAAATAAGTTAATTCCTTGCTGAAACAAAAAATCAGCAGTCCTTAGACACATATTACAGAACCCAGAGTCTCCACGACATAACATTCACCATATCCGGGATACAAATTTAAATGACTTAAAATTTAATTGAAATGCACAAATAAACAGGAAAACATGACTCATTCCTAATACAAAAAATGATCACCTTAAGCCATCCTTAAGCTGACCCAGGTATTGGAATTAGCAGGCAAGGATTTTAACATAGCTGCATCAGATGATGTAAAGTGCTCCTCTTGAATCAGTAGGTGGGAAATCTCAGCAAAGAAGTAGAAACATTAAAACAGAAACTAAATGGAATTTCTGGAATGAAAAAACACAGTAGATGAATTTTTAAAAATCTAGATGATAATAAAAGCAGAATTTTTCAAATGTTAGGGGAAAATCTTTTATTTTTTTTAAATAGAAATTATCCAATATGAACAATAGAAATAAGGATAATTGGGGAAAAAAATAAGCAGAGCTCCAGGGACCTATGGGACAATGTCAGAATATCCAGCATGCATGTAATTAGATTTTCAAAAGCGTAAGAATGACCAGTCAGCCACATCGTTAGTTAGCAGGGAACTGAAAATTAATACCGCAATACAATGCCATTACACATCCATCAAGATAAAAAATTTCAAGACTGACTATACTAAATGTTGGCAAGAACGTGGTGGAACTAGAGCTCTCACACGAGAATGCAGTGTAGTACAACTACTTTGGGAAAAGCTCTCGGAGTTTCTTTTCAAACTAAACATACATATATGTACCCCATGACGCAACTATTCCAGTCCTAGTTATTTAAGCAAGAGAACTGAAAACATATTTTCAGTTTTGTATATGTTGTATACATACGTTACAAAACATACTCATAAGAATATTAACCATGGATTCGAGATGAGCCTGGCAACATAGTAAGACCTCGTCTCTACCAAAAAAAAAAAAAAAAAGTTTTTTAATTATCCAGGCATGGTGCTGTGTGCCTGTGATCTCAGCTGCTTGGGAGGCTGAGGTGGGAGGATTGCTTGAGCCCAGAAGGTCAAGGCTGCAGTGAACTGTGATCATGCTACCATACTCTAGACTGGATGACAAAGTGACATCCTTTCTCAAAAATAAAATAGGAATGTTCATAGTCATTTTACTCATAATAACCAAAAACTGAAAACAACCCAGATGTCCATTAATACAATAAACTATAATCACACAAATACTATTCCACATCAAAGAGAAGAAATTACTGATATAGCACAGTGAATCCCAGGAGCATTATGCCGAATTAAGGAAGCCTTACACAAATACATATGTATACTGTATAGGTTTCATTTACATGAAGTTCTAGAACAGATAAAACTAACTGTGATGAAAAATCCAGAACAGTGGTTTCCCCTGGGTGGTGAGGATTCCTAGGGTGGGGCCTTAGGGATCTTCACGGGGTGCTGGTCGTGATCTGGGTTTCCATCACACAGGTGTATACATCAGTCAAAACTCATCAAATGCTGCACTTTGAGATTTGTCTGTTGTGTAGTATGTACATTCTAACTATATAAAAAAAACAACTGTGCAAATGGTCCACTGTAGTTAATGGTGAGCACACTGAAGTGCATCAGAGCCACAGGATGGATGGAAGCCGTGCAGTCATGTGAGGCCATGTGATCATGTGGGGCTGTGTTATTGGGAGAGCCTATGGCAAAACAGGCATTCACTGTAAAGTTCTTTCAAAGTCTCCATATATTTGATTTTTTTTCAAAATAAAATACATTATTTGGGGAGAAAAAAAAAGAGTGCAGAGCGCTTGTTAATTTGGTTAGGGGAAAATCTGTTACAGAAGCTTCTGCTGTATTTCCATTTGCCACCATTTTTCTCTGAAAATCGATTTATCAGATCTTTGATATTATAGTTTAAGTTGAAAGGTCATGGTTATTATAATAGTTCCATCACAGGAGATAAGTAATGTAAACTGTGTAGTACTACAGATGAATTAACGGGCAGTTGCAGTGGCTACCATAGGCCTTGGCAATCTTGGAATTATAACAGACATCTGCCTTCTCTACACATTACCTTTGTAACCCATTTATCTGATGTCTAAACCGCTCTCAAAGCCAGCAGGGAGAGGGTGGGAATGATCTCAGAATTAGCTGGAAAATTTTTCAACATACACATGTCCAGAAACTACTGGTCACCAAACTGTTTCAGCCTCTGGTTTGTGATATACCTCCTAGGGCCTAGACAGGCATGTGTATTTTGAAAAAGGTCGTGAGTCTGAACCCCCACCTTTACTCTGCCATTGAGAATGACTTTGAGAGCTTCTTTCCTTGGGGCCATAACTCTAAGAGGGATAGCAGGTTCACCTTTGATAGGCAGTTACCTAAGTGCTAAACTGTAATCATAAATCAAATACTATTCCACATTAAAGAGAAGAAATTACTGATACAGCACAGTGAGAGCTTGGTGAAAAGGGGAGACAGTTTGGTGATTTGGGCAGATCTTTTAGCATGACATTTTTCTGGATTACAATTTTGTATGTATTATATGACTAATCACAGTTTTTATAATTGGCATAACTTATAGGTTAATTAAAACACTCTGTCACTTTGACAATAAAATTTCTCTCAGAAGATTAGTTTTATAGTAATTTAATCTTTCTCCTAAAATATTCATCTGAAAGTTCTACCTTTTTTCCTTGTAGGTCTTTTTTTACCTATACTAGAATATAAACAAAATAGAGACAGAAATTGTCAGACTTTCTAGCATTTGTAACTTTCTAGTTATAAACTGTTTTTCAGGCTTCCAAGGACTGGAAAAAGGAAACCAAACAATTGCTTTCCAAACAGATAAAGGTCACGGAATATCCTGTGTCATATATATCTGCTTTGATCTAGAGTACTTAACAGAATTTCTAATAAACTGTAAAGAGCTGGCTGTGTCTTTCATCATTGTTTTATGTTTTGTCCACTCCTTGAGAATAAGGGATGTTTCTTTTAAATGTTCTCCGGAGTGTCCCACTCAGTGTGGGTACTGCTTCAGAAAACCAGGTTCTCATCATCAGTGGCTCTGCTGGAGCTCCCAGGAAACCTGACTTGTATGTCAGATTACACTTCTTCATGCTCACATAGAAGTGAAAGCTTAAGTTCACTTTTTTCTTAAAACTTTTATGCAGTATTTCATGTAGCATATAATCTATCTACAGTAGAAAAAGATTATACAGTTCAGTGATTTTTAGTATATACAAAGAGCTGTCCAGTCATCACTGTCATCAATTTTAGAATATTTCATCCCAAAAGAAACCCCTGGCCCATTAACAATAAGTATCATCATTTGCCTCCCAAATACCCCTTTCCCACTACAAACAACCACCAATTGATTTTCTATGATTTGTCTACTCTGAAAATTTCATATAAATGGAAACACACAAATAGGACCCTTTGTGACTGTTATCTTTCATGTAGTATAATGTTTCAAGGTTCTTCCATGCTGTAACATGTGCCAGTGTTTCACTCCTTTTTACATATGAACATGTAAAATATGCCACATTTAAATATGCCGCATTTTATTTATCCATTCATCATTTGATGGGCATTTGGTTTTCTCCCACTTTTTGATTAATATGCAGAATGCTTCTGTGAATACTCCTGTACAACTTCTTGTGTGGACATCTGTTTTCATGTCTTGTGCATCCATACCAAGGAGCAGAATTGTTAGGTCGTATGGTTGCTCAATGCTTAATCTTCTGAGACACTGCCAGACTGTTCTCCAAAGTGGCAGCACATTCCTACTAGCAATTTTTGAGGGTTCCAATTTCTCTACATCCTCACCAGTATTTGTTTTTGTCTCTCTTATTGATTATAGCCATCCTAGTGGGTGTGAAGTGATATCTCATTCTGAGTTGTCCTTTCACAGTCTGGATGGTGTCTTTTGTAGCACTGGATTTTTAATTTTGATGAAGTCTACTTTATCTCTTTTGTTGTTGTTATTGTTGTTGTTTGTACTTTGGGCATGATTTCTAAGAAGGGTTTCCCAGCTTAAGGTCACAAGATTTACTCCTGGTTTCTTCTGAGAGTTTCATACTTTTATCTCTTACATTTAGATCTGTGATTTATGTTAGTTAATTTTTGTGTTAAGGAAAGGATCCAGCTTCATTCTTCTGCATGAGGATATGCAGTTGTCCAGCACCATTTGTTGAAGAGACTGTTCTTCCCCTATTGAGTGGACTTGGCACCTTTGTTGAATAGCAGTTGATCATAAATATAAGAGTTTCTTTCTGGACTCTCAGTTCTGTCTTTATTGTCTATATAATCTGTCCCTACACCAGTACCACATGGTATTGATTACTGTAGCTTTGTAGTATGTTTGAAGTCAGAAAGTGTGAGGCCTCTAAATGTGTTACTCTTTTTTAAGATTGCTTTGACTCTTCTGAGTGCCTTGCATTTCCTTATGAATTTTAGAATCAGGTTGTCAATTTCCATTAAGGAAAAAAAAAGCAGCTGCAATTTTAATAGAGATTGCATTGAATCTGTAGAGCATTAAACTATTAGTTTTTTGAAATTAAGGCAGTGTGCCTATTAGGGCATAGGTGTCAGGAAGCATACCAAGCTACATCCTTACCTCTGTGGGGCACAGGCCCTTTCAGGGCAGTTTTTCAGAGTGTCTTTTCTCTTGCAAGACTAAAAGAAAAATTAGTGGTAGAGAGTAAATACAGATGGCTGGAAAATCATGACACAGTTTGTACTTTTCATAGCGAGATGTCTAGTTCCCTGCCCTCACACAGTCATCCTTGACTACAAGTTATTTTCAGTCAACGAACATTTTGTTGTAGCGAATTTCTTTGGACTGTTTTAGAAACTACTCATGACTAGCAGTCCCCATGGTGGTATTACGCCAACCCCATCCTACGATGAGCAGGCCGGACACCCCTCACCTCAGTACTTGTTTATATTTGATAATATAAATTTTCTTGTTATCATTTTGTCCTTTTCTCATTTTCAGGCAAGACTGGAAATCTGTGCTTTGAGGGATACTGTGGCTGTTTACCTGACACCTGAAAGCAAGTAAGATGCAGTGTTCTTCAGTTCAGAGTGCTCTGTTAAAAATAAAGGTTGTCTTACTAGTAAATTATATCCTCTGTAAAAATGACTGATCAGAGCACATGCTCATGAATTTGTGATTTGATAAGGTTTATATCAAGGCCACTTCTTTGTAACACAATGTAAAGGAAAGAGGTTTAATGTAATTTTGTTCTTCATTTACTACTGGCAAATCTTAGTCTTAGAAATAATACAGCAGTCTTATAAATAATACTTCTTAAAGCAAAAGGATAAGAACCGAGTCTTAGTCTAGTCATAGCAGCCTCTGAAGGGCAGCTTCAAGGCTGTAAATATCAGTGTAAGAGAGGAAGCCTTGTGGTTTATCTGCAAAATTTTGTAGTGGAAATTCAGTGATCATTTTTAGCTGTTTTGAATGAAAGTCAGGATTTCCTACCATTGAAATATCAGTAGGTGAAGTAAAACAGAAGTACTGTTTGCCTGTGCAAAATTGTTTACTACATGGGCAACATTACCTAGGAAATACTGGGTTATATTGTTAATGTGTCTGAGAAGCCAAGTAGTATGCAAATGAAAATTTGAGGACACTGTAATATGCTAACTCATTCATTTCTAGCATCTGATAACATGGCTTGCTATCATTCCTACTATCAGCTTTGCAACTGAAAAGACTTTTTAAATTTTTTCCTAGCAAATGAAATTAGCCTCTCATTCCCACTGAGGGGAATGGCTCACCAGAAGCTATTTTTAGTGGGCTTCATGTTGATTGTTTAGCCGCACCTTTTCCCAGCCATCATTTGACTGCACAACCTGCTAACAGGATTGAAGCACCCAGCTCATGGTGGATGTGTGCGCACTTCATGTAAATGCCTGCTCTTTCTTCCTGCTGACTTAGTTTTAGGGAGCATAAGGTACTCATCTAAAGAGGAAGATTGGCTGGGCGTGGTGGCTCACGCCTGTAATCCAAGCACTTTGGAGGCCAAGGCGGGTGGATCACCTGAGGTCGGGAGTTCAAGACCAGCCTGACCAACATGGTGAAACCCCATCTTAAAAAAAAAAAAAAATTAAAAAAAAGGAAGATTAAAATATTCTAGGCAAGCTTTTGAGGGGATTAAATGAGAAAATGTGCCAAGTCACCTTTTAGTTTCAGTACCCTGCCAATAACAGTGTAATCTGTACCATCATTATCATCATACTGTCAAAGCAATTTGATCACATTTTTTTCAATTAATCAAAAAGACATTCACAAGAAACAAGCTGAGGGTGAAGGTAGCAGCAGTGGCTTCCACACGAGGAATGAGCCCTCTGAATGCAGAAAGGGACCTGAGTGCACCAACCCACCGTTCTACACCCCACTGTGCCCTCCTGGGAGCAGCTGGATGCCCAGCACCAGGTTTCATGACTCTATTGGAACTTTTCAGTCTCTCTGTTGCTGTGACACCTGCTCCTGGTTTGAGGACTATTGCTCAAAAATGTATTTCCTGGTAGATTGGGGAGGATGTTTTTACAATATAAAAGCAATGACCATCTGAAGTCAAGAGTAGTTATATTTGTTTCTTCACCTTAACCAATCAGAATAGATAAAAAGTTAACTGTTCCTTTGTGAATGGTACAAGTTACTACCAAACAATTTCCCCTATTATGCTTTTCATTTGGTTCAATAATTTTCTAATACTTTCTCCTTATAAAAACTAAAACAACTATTTATAAAGGCCCAAACAGTTGTCTTTTTAAAATTCTTTCCTTTTACCTTTTTCATGTGAAGAAATGATGTTGAATTTTTAAAGCATATATATAGCTCTCCATTTTTCTACAAGTTTTAAGTAGACTGTATTTAATTGTTACACGACTTTGGCTGTGGATCAGGCCCTTTGCATGGCAAAACTGCAAACACCCTGCTGTGTGTAATCTTTCAAAAGGTCATCTCCTTTCTTAGTTTCTTTCCTTTCTTACCAGTTACTTTATCTGTGGTTATTTGTTTTGAAAAGACTCCTTTTAAATTAAACATGTTCACGTTAAGCTGTCTTCTGTCACAGGTAACATCCTTTAAAATAAAATCTGTTTTTCCTTTAGCTTTTCAAGTTGTGTTTCATTTCCTAGTTGAGTTTTTCTGATCCTGCTCCTACAAGCCCCCGCCTGGTCGCTACACCTTCACTTTTACTTTTACTTTTTCTGTTGTTTTTCACTTTTACTTTTTCTCACATTTCCTTGCTTCACTGGCTTTTATTGGCTTCTCAATAATTAAGGGATGATTAAGAATTTGTTAGCAGTTATCCTAATTACCCTTGGAGCTATGCAAGGTTTAAACTTCAGTGTGGCTGTTTGTGTTCCAGGTCTAGTTTCAAGCAGGCTTTGGAAGCCCTGCCCCAGCTTTCCAGTGGAGCAGATAAAAAGTAAGTCCTGTATGCTGTCTCAGAGCCAGTTGCATGTGCTCAACAAGGTTTTGTTACCTAAAGAACCTTTTAGAAAATAATAATGATGGTTTGGATTCTAGGAAGAGCAGTGCTTAATAGCCCTTAGGAAGTACATCTCAACACCTGTACCTTGTATGTCTTCCGAGTGACCTCATAAGATAAGACCTTTCTTTGGGTTTAGGATAATTTAGAAGTTGGCTCTCATTTCAAGTGACTGGTACAGAAAATGTCTTAAGAAAGCTCACTATGACTTATTCAGTAAACTATATTGGTAGCATACATATTTAAGAAGTAATAGAAAAAAGACAGGATAGTAAAATGCAAGACTCAGTGATATTTTCTTTTATCTTTGAGTAATTCAGTAGTAGTCATTTTGTGTGCTATAAAATTTAAAATGTTATGAAAGAGTAGATGTGCACATATGGCATAATAAAGTTATATATATTTCATTAGACCACATTGATGATCTCAACCTGAGTTTAAACTTTACTACTCATGGAACAGGAAACAGACCTAAATCTAGGTCAGTTTCATAATCTAGGTAAATTTCATAAATGCCCAAGCTCCCCTCAGCTGAGGCAGCAGAAACTCTGTAGGTCTTCATACCTTCACCAGCCCCTCTGCACATGGCTGCCAGTCCCATAGACAGGCATCTGCGGTGCACTGACTGAAATGCTGGCACCATGGACGCAGTGCAGACTCGGTGGCAGGCAGAGAAGCACATGGGCTGGGTGACGGGGAGAAACTGTCACATGGCACTGGTGCACGGAGCGGGCAGCAGACCAGCCCTCCCACTGTGCAATCCCAGCATTGCCACCTGTGCGCGTCCCACATGGGCGCAGACGGTGCCTGCACAGACAGCCCTTTCTTCCGTCTTCCTGCTTCTTCCTTCTCTCACTGACTTTCGACCTCTATATGAATTGGTTCCAAACCCTGTTCATTTCTTTAAGATAAATATGATAAAAGATTAAAACAATCACTATTATGTTTAATACGTGGAACAGAGTTCAAAAGGTAATGTGTTCAAGACTCAAGAATAATACATACCCTGAAATAGTCCCATGTCAGGACTATATTTTAGGTTTGCTCTGGGGATAATATTCTAATATTGAATGTTGTTAAACCAGGAAATAATGTCGTGACCTCAGTACTATTAAACGCAGTTCTTGGTTGCTTCATCTAAACCAGGCAAACCCTAAGATCCTTTCTAGCTTTAAAATTAGATGACTAGGCTGGGTGTAGTGGCTCACATCTATAATTCCAGCACTTCGGGATGCCAAAGTGGGTGTGTCACTTGAGGTCAGGAGTTTGAGAGCAGCCTGGCCAACATGGTGACATCCCATCTCTACTAAAAATACAAAAATTTGCCAGGCATGGTGGCATGCACCTGTAGTCCTAGCTACTGCGGAGGCTGAGACAGGAGAATCACTTGAACCTGAGACACAGAGGTTGCAGTGAGCCAAGATCACGCCACCGCACTCCCGTCTGGGCAACAGAGGGAGAGACTGTCTCAAAAAAAAAAAAGAAAAGAAAAATTAGATGACTATATCAGATCAGTTGGGGAAACAGATTGAGGTATCAGCTAGCAAAGTGATTTGCCTAATGGAATTAGTACTAACCCTTGCTTCCCCTGGTGAGTAACTCACTACTTTTGCTCCCCACCCTCTAATATCTGTTAAAGACAAAATGCAAAATGAGAGGAAGGGAAAGTCACCAGTGACTGCTAGGAGATGGGGTTAGAGAAGAGGCTGACTAGACGGGCAGCAGGGGAGAGGGTGTAGTGATACCCCGTGCCGTAGCCTGTTATACTCTGGGATGGGTGTGCCAGTGCTCATAGAACCATTTAACAAAAAGTGAACTTGAGGGTGTATAAATTATTTTAGAACTGAATTTCTAAAAAAAAGAATAGGCCCAAACATCAGTCTGTTTTTGGGAGGAATCTAATTAATCTTGGGAGGGGATAGGAAGGAGATGTTTCTATACAAACATAAATACGTATATCAGTATATCCTATTTGACCAACTTCTTTGACGTATTTCTGTTACTGAGTTAAGGATCTGTAGATGAAAATTTCCAGCTGCCTTCTCAACACAGCAAGCTCAGGCAGAGCGGGCAGCTGGCTCCGCTGGTGTTTTCTTGTGTTGCTAGGCCACCCCATCTGTCAGGCTGTAAAATAGTGTCTCCTTCCTGCAGGTTACTGGAAGAGCTCCTGAACAAGTTCAAGAGTAGCATGCACTTGCAGCTCACCTGTTTCCAAGCAGCCTCTTCAACCATGATGAAAACATAAATACCTGCCAAATAAGGGAAGTCCAGGAAAATACAAGTAATAAGACTGTTCACTTTCTAAGTACCCTAAAGGTATTTGGTGTATTAAACATTGGGTTTACCATTTTCATCCTTTTTACTTCCTCAGACTTCGAAAGTTGTTGGTATACATTGCACTTCAACTAAAATGATGTCATTTGAAATGCCCAAGAAGTATTTGTTTTGCCATTCTTGTTAGATCAGATCCTGTATGACTTTACCTTTAAGAGATATTTTGCATCTCAGCAGAAGGTTGCATGGTGAGCGCCACAGGAAGAACTGCTTCTGCAGGCAGCGTTCTGGAATGGTGTGGTACATATTGAAGCATTTCTCAGCATCCCATTCACAAGAGCGCAGGCAGCTCCCACGACACATGGAAAGATTGATAAGAGGAGATCTGGAAAGTTGCATGTAGGCATCTTGGGAGCTCTTACTGTCCTAAACTCTACAGCTGTGCTTAAAACCTTTATTTCCTATAAACGACCTTACGTTTTCTAATTCAAGCAGGTTTTTGGGAAAATGTGTGGTCTGCATTAAAATAAATATTACAACCAGGGCAGATTATTTGGGGTCCAGGTGTCTGTGCTTTAACTTTGCATTTTGCTGTCTGCTTTTTATTTTTCACAGGACTGAGCACTAGCTTTTTTCAATCTCACTCACTCTTAATTTGATGTGCATCCCTTCACATCCACATGTTGCAGTACCTGAGGCCCTGTGTGTTATCTGTGATGGAGTGTGAGTGCCAGCCACTGTGTTACACTCACAGGTGCCGGCGGGGCAGCCATAGATTTCAGGGTCCCCTAAAGAAAAGGCCAGGCTCCAGTTGGACAGCCAATCCCCGCCCGCCACTGTCGGTTCCTTCAGCAAGTGACTTTCTCTCTGCCACTTCTTACCCACTGAAGGATCTTGCTCAGTAGCTGGAAGAATGCTGCTCTCACGCAGTCTCTTCTCTGAAGCTTCAGGATGCCCCTGGGTCACCAGGCAGTGGGAGCTGTACACCAGCCCTGTGTGCCTGCCCCACATTCACTGCTGACTGGCTTTACTGGAACAGGTTTGGGTCATCGTGACTTCTCTCACAGTCAGCTTCCCGCCCAACTCCATCATACCCTTGCATCTGAAAACTGAGTAAATATATCTGCAGTCGGCTGGCCAGGGTTTTCAACATTTTCTATGGTTATTTTAAAATCTCCTTTTTTAATTGCTAAAATTAATGTCCTCATTAATACAAGTAATTTTAGAGCACAGGGTAGTCATGTACAGTTTCCGTTATTTAAAATAAATAAATGTGTTGGTTCATTTGGTGTATGAGGGGGAAATCTTAGTGATTGGAAATGAAAGTTTAATCTTTTACAGATGTGCTTGGTAAAGCTGTTAAGAAATACACAGAACATTGTCTTTCCTAAGTATGTTAACTGCTGTATCTAACTCGACAATGAGCTAAATTTAAAAACTGCAATTATGAATGTTTGTTATTTTAAATATCTACTACAGCACATTCAGCCAATAAAGTATCTGCCTTCAATCTAAGATGTAGTTTAGTCAACACTTTTCCCTAAGTGTCTTTATTTCAGCATTTTCATTTGCTGTATAAGTTTTTATATTTCTACTATTAACATTCAAAATAAATACTTACATTCTGGTTAATCCCATATTGGTAGAATCATTATCAGAAAGCATGTGTCAGGTCCTGCTAATTCTGTCTGCTGGGAACCTACCATGTGCGAGGCACGGCACGAAGTGCCTTGTTTAATCCCCACCACAGCCTTGTAACACCTGTGGGCTAGGTTACCGCCATGTCCATTTAGCAGAGGAAGGAATCAGGGCTTAGAGAGAGGTTGGTGACTTCTCTAAGACTGCAAGGTAGATAAGAATCAGGACTCATGTTCACACTCTGGCTTCATATCTCCTTGACTTCAACACTACTCAGCTGTTCCTTCCAGTAGAACATGCTTTCTGACGTCCATCCACCAGAGTCACAGCTCAGAGAAAGTTCATCACAATGCCAAGGCTAATCAGTAGCAGCAGCATGGGAACAGGTAGTGCTTTTATGGCTCAGAGTGGAAGGTAAAGGCGTAAAAACCCCATACCCAAATGAGGGAGTTCAAGGACTACTATTCCAATAAGTCAGGAGGGACTTCTTGGAAGAAAGGGGGATTTCAACAGCTATTTGAGTTACAGAACATTGGTTTAGTGGGCAGGAGGAGATGGATGAATATGAAGTAAGTTAGATGAAAGCTGAGAGACAAACCAGGACCTGGAGCAAGTGAACAAGGCAGCCGAGAAAAAGAATTAGGGAGGCTCAAGGTATTTTAATGCTCAGGTAGCATTTTGTTTTTTCACATCCATGTTCTCTGTGGGTCAGTGTGGCGTCATGTGAGTTAGCTAAATTGGCCTCACTTGAAATGCTAAAGAGCTATTAGAAATCATTTGATTTTACTAAGACTTTCTATATCAGTGTACCATGAAAGTGGCTTGTTCTAGAAATGATTTGAGCACGGCAAAACAAGCATCACTGCCACAGGCCTAGCACACTGACTCATTCTCCTGTCTCTGTCATCTTTGCATATAGATTTTTTAAAGGGAAGAAACAGAAAAGATTATATTTTTATTCTGGATTTGGTACAAGGTGGTGGCATGTGTTTCTGTTTAGATCACGTGCTATGGGATATTCTGCTATTAGTTGCATAAGAGTGTTGTGTAATATGTTTTCCGAAAAGTTACAAATTTTAACTCATTTTTAAATCGTTAAGATTCGGTTTCTAAAATATATGTAATTTTTCTCAAATATATGTAATTTTCATAAAGTAATTATGCATAGACTAAACTTGTATACGTTTTTGTCACTAAACATTTATTGATTCTAAAGATTTTCATATACACTTATGAACTGCTCTGAAAGAAATATTTACTATCTTCTATCACTCCTCAATTAGAGCAGCAGCTGTAATTATTTTAGCTTTGCTTTAAACACAGCTGCATATTACTCTGTACTAGGGCCATTATGCTTTTTGTGTGCTGATCTCATCTCATTTCTGCTTCCCCACATTTTTTTATTGAGGTTTATTACATGTATTACTGGAAAGCTTTTTTGTACCTGGCCAGGTTAGAAATATATAACAATAAATATCTTATGGACAAGACTTGGGTCTTTGGGTAACTTGTTTGCAGTTTGGCTAATGAAAAGGCAGTAGGGTATCAGAATGTCTTTCTCCTGTCTAGGCACATAAAATCCTGAACAAAGTGGGCACTTAAGCTTGTCGTGTGTCTTCAGCAGTGTTTTAACCATGACTGGTATCCCATTGGTTTTATTCTTGTGGTCACTGTTGAGATTGTCATGGTTGTTATCATTATTATCTTTTCACATGTTTAAAAAAAGATTCTTGTGCCACCTTCCTGCAAACCCTATAGCCAGACACAAATCCCTGAGAACCAAGACCACTGCCTGAATTTTAACTGCCAAAGAAGACTCCAAAAGAACTCATCATAGAATAAGAGGAAACCCTGAAAAGAATGGGGTCACAGAAATCAAGTAGAGGGGCAGGTATTACCATAAGACTAAAGTGATTGTCAGCAAGGACAAATGGTACAGATGTCAAAAGGGTAAATACTGAGAAATGGTTGCTAAACTTGGCATTTAGAAAATCAGAAGTGACCAAGTGGAGACTGATAAGGAAGGAATTAGAGAAACATAATACTGTGAACCTATTCTTTTAACTCACAAGAACTAACCTCCTCCTTGAAGATCACAGAATATCCTGGCCTCAAAGACAAAAGTGAAACTATTTTTAAAAGACCTCTTTTCTGCTTCCTTTCTTATTAAATTATCATCCCTGAGTGCCTGATCAATTCCTGCTACCCCTGCTTCTTTGACAATTGGACTGTCTTATAAAATATTTATATCCAGCCCTTTCTTTTCTCCTGCTTACTGAGTTTCTCTACCTAGACAATGTAGGCTCCTGAAACCAGGCCTCACCTAGGTAGATGCAGATGTCAGATGACCTTGGAATTGTTTTCTGCTCTGCCATGCTTCCTGTCCTCTGCTCTCAACTGACCTCAAAGCCCTTCTGTGAGCTGTGTGAAGGAGTTTCATGAGCTTCAGCTTCAGCCATCAGGGAGCCTTGGCGTGGGACTGCTGTCCTAGCCCAGGAGCTGGTACCAAATAGCACCTTAGGAAATATCATTGAGTACTATTGATGAAATGTTAGCAAGTATGTCAGATTATCTTTTAATCAAATACAAATTTGGCTTTTTATGTAAAAAGTCAAATGACTCCACAGAACTGATTATGAAAATGATCAATCCCCCAACTCCCTCCTCTGCTTGCTCCCTAAAGCCATCCACTTTCCATTCTAGCCAATCTGAGTCTTTTGGTATTTACCTCATGGTCCCTGCCTTGACAGGTTTGTATTGCTGCTTCCTGATTCTTTGGTTTTGAGCTCTGTGGTCGTCCTAAAATAGAACATGAAAATTCAACTCTCTTCTCTTTCATCCTCTCTACCACACACATACTCCTTTAACCCCTCTTCTCAGTGAGTTCATTCCTTCTTGGTAGACCAGCATCCAGTGTTCACATTGTGAGGCCTGTGGAGATGGCATTCCATGCTAAGCCAGCCACAGACTATATTCTTTTCTATTTTTTTGTATTTTCTATGTATTGTAATCATTTTCAGTCATCTCAGTATTTCCTCCATCCAAGTTCAAATGTCTTTGCAATATATTCAAGCACATACACACTTTACCAAGTTGGTCTTCTTGAACAACTTCCCCACAGGTTTCTAGCCTGTCCTACTCTAGGCTGGATGCTCGCCAGGTCTACCTCGTACTTGGCATCTCCTTTTGTAATCACCAACCTGGAGGCACCTTTTGCCTGGACTGGATCAGCCCCTTCTGTCCCCCACATCTTCTTTTTTTGGTTTGCTCTTTCACATGGCAAAACTCACCCTGTGGTGACTTCCTGAGAAAATAGGATATTGGAGGGAAATATTTTGAGAAAATAGGATATTGGAGGGAAATCATTTTTCCTCAGATTTTGGAGGCTTTTGTGCTGTTGTCTTCCAGCGTCTCTTCACGTGCTTCTCTATGTAGAATCATCTTTTCTGAGTTTTCTGAAAGCTCATAATGTTGTTCTGGGGATGCCCTTTGTTCCTGGTGGTGAGCCTAGTATCTGTAGACTCTGAGAAGTTTTACTGAATTACTTATTTGAATCCTCTGTGCCCCTCTGTTCCAA